ACAAATTAAAATCCATATAGTCTAAGAATAAGTAGTTGTAACTGTTTTGTTAAATAGGTAGTTATTTATTTATTTTTTTAAAAATATTAAAATTAAAATTCAGTTTGTTTGGCTTGGATTTTCAGGATTCATTTTTTAAAAAATTGAAATTTTTGTGTTTTCCGTATTTTTTTGTTTTTACTGAATTTTTTTAATATTCTAAGCAATTTTTTTTTAATTTTAGATACACCTAATATAAACACACTTAAAAAGTATAATATTTGTGAAAAAAAATCTTTAGAAAATTCACTAAATACCAAAAAAAAAATTTGAGAATTCAATACATTTTTTTATATTCTTGTATATTTATTGATTTTTAAAAATATTTTGTTATAAATATTATACTTTTTAGATACATTTAAGTATGGTGCATCTAAAAAAGTAAAAAAAAAATATTTAAAATTTTAAAAATATTCATTAAAAACAAAAATATATGAAAAATAAAAAAACTCAATTTTCAAAAAATTAAAACCAAAACACTGATTAGTTTTTAAAATGTTCTCAGCATTCCTATGAACTCATTACATCATCATTTTATATCTGTTGCCTCACATCACCACTGCCCCTTCCTCACGATCGCATGCTGGCTATCGCCTTCACCCTCACTCACTCACACTCACACTCACACTCACTGGTCCTGCTTGGTACAGTTTATTTTAAATTAAAAGTTAATAATCGGAAAGTAAAAAATCAACAGCCCCTCTTTATCAGCTTTTAAATAATTAGCTTTTCTCAGTTTATTTAAGTTATTTTTGCTTAAAAAATTATAAGCAGAAACTGTACCAAATAGTTTGATATAGATTCCCAAATTACAATAAGCTATAATCACCCCTATAATCCACACCAAGCACCCCCACTCTCACTCTCACTCCCACTCCCACTCCCATTCCCACTCATTCTTCTCACCTTCTCCTGACTTTAGCCAAACTCACAGTGCCTCATTCTCAAATGAAGAAACCCACTCTGGCAATTTCAGTCTCACTCCAACGATAGTGAACCTAGATGAGGTAATTAATTTGTATTTGATTCAATTTTTTTTTTTATTGATTTATATTATTATTTTTTAATGTTATTTTGTGAGAATTTGATGGCATTGTTTCGTGTGTGGATGGGAGGGTTGTGTTGGTTTTGTCAAAGTGGATTGGAAATGGTTTGCAATGTGTTTGTAAAAATGGTTTGGATATGTTTATACTATTATATATGCAAGTACATGACTTGGTGTTTAATAATGTAGTGATTTCTCCTTCTGTCACGTGACAAATTTTTCTATCCTAAAATAAGAAAATATTATTTACAGACGTGAGCAAGATTTGAACCAAAGACTTTGAATTTCATTAAGAATACTCTTATCATTTAGATAACATACATATTATAAAATTAATTTCTTTATTATTTATTTTTATGTTTACTTATTTGAATTGCACACATCGTAACTTTCGATCTATTGTGTCATTGTACATATCAAAAATATAAATAATAAATAATGTTGTGCTTCTTAATTAAAAAAAAAAAAAAAGCACTTGTGGTGAAAATTAATTAAAAAAAAACCCCTAGAGTATTTCAATTATCTAAATTTAGACCCTAGATAATTATGATGTATTTTATGTTGAAAGCATGTTTTTCAATATAAAAACATTATGTTGAAATTTTTATTTAAAAATAAAAAATAAAGTAAAAAACCTTGTATTGAAAGCGTGATCCGTATACACGGTCTCAAAATTAAAAAAAAAAAATAGGTTGAAAGCAATGGTAATAAAATGTTAAAAGCGTGGAAAAAAAACTTATGTTAAAAGTGTATTTATTTAACATAAAAAAAATTATGTTGAAAGCAACGGTAAAAAAATGTTGAAAGCGTTAAAAAAATTTATGCTGAAAACATGCTTTTAATATAAAAAAAAATTTCTGATCCCAAAAAAAGAAAAATTTATAAATTCTATTTAAAAAATAAAAAATTGGGTAAATTATAAATACATCTCCTGAGATTTGCTTAAAATACGAATTGCCCCCTGTGGTTTGAAAAATTACAAATATCTCCCTGTTAGAATTTTTTTATTTAATAGAATTAATTGAAAAAGTGAAATTTCTAACTGTTCACCTATACAATAACAAAATTATTTGAATTATTAATTGAAATAAAATTTTAACATTATTAAAAACTGTTAATTAACTTGATAATTTATTAATAAAATGATCTATTAGTTATGAAATTAGAAATCTTATGAGGCATAATGTAATTTTTGGAACCACAAAGGGTAATTTGTAATTTAAGTAAACCTCAGAGAGTGTTTTTGTAATTTATCCTAAAAAATTGTATCTAAAGCGTGATTTATAAACACGCTTATTTATGAAACATGCTTTCTTAATTATTATTAGTGTTTCGTAAACACATTTTCATGAAAATATGATTACAAAACACGAGTTAGCTCATTCCAAGAATTTCTTTGCAAAGTAATTATTTATGTTGTGTTTGGTTAGGGGATTTGGGGGACGAATTTGAAAATGAAAAGGAACAAAGCAAAATTCTTCGTAACTCGAGATTCCTAAGGTTCAAGTGGCCCGAAGTTTCAAGACGATGTCGTTATGAAACTTTTTTTTCTTCTCTAACATTGGTTTGAGAATAGGCGAGAGAAAGAGAGCAAGAAGAGTGAAGAAGAAAAAAGAGAGAGAGAGAACAGAGAAGGAAAATTCTTGCTATGTTTTGTTGCTTTCTGTGAAAATTCTTGCTTCATATATCCGAATCTAAGTTGGAGGTAAATAATTTGATGATTTGTAGCTTCAGTGTTCATGGGCATTCTTTGGAAACGAGGAAGACCCACCTTCTATAGAAGTTACTCTGTAAGTGTTAGCATCAAATTGTATACCAGGGTTTGTTTGTCATCTCTGTTAGTCAAAACCACAAACACTTGGAGTACAAAAAGGTTGAAACTTAACTCAAAATCATTCAAATTTCTCAGCAATTCAAGTTTTTAGAACAGAGAATTGAAAATCCATACAATGAAACTGAAAGAAAATGTCAAAAAATTAAATACAATCAAGTCAAAGAAACAGGAGATAAGTCAAAATCATTATAATCAAAATAAAATTTCTAATTTTTTGAAATCAAAAGAGACATTTCATTGAGGAGAAGAAGACCTTCGATTCATTGGTGATGATTTCATTGCTAGCGGCCATTGACGAGTGATCTTGAGGAAAATGAAGCTTTGAGAGGGTCATAAAGATTCCAAGTGAAGAATGAGGGAGATGAGTGAAGCTATGTGTGATGATGGTGGTTTTGGAAATTCCTTGTTTTTGAGTTTGGGAACAAATAGGAGTGAATGATGGCGTGAAGCAAAAGAGAACAAAGAAGAGAAAGAGAGAGAGAGAGAGAGAGGGGGAAAGTCAAAAGCAATGAAGGAAGGCGGGAGGTGGATGAAGAAGAGAGATTAAGCACAACAGAAAGTCAAGTAGAAAAGTAAATTCGAGCCATTTGAGCCATAAGGTTTCGAGCTACGTAGCAGGATTGGGAAAAAAGTGTGTGAAACTAGGTGAAATATAGGTATATTTTATTCTCATTTCATTTATGTTTTCTCTTTTTCTTTTTAAATTCCTTTTCAAATTCTCCAACCAAATATAGCATTAATGAAGATGTTTAAAATTTACAAAATATTCTCACAATTATACCCATAATAATGTGGTAATATATATGTTAACTTTCGATTTATTATAATATAAGATTCACTCACTTGTCATATCAATGTAGGTTTAAATGTAGAAGTCTCTAACATTACCCGTTATTTAGGCCAATTTTTGTAAATAAGAAAAAAGTCAACTTTTTTTTTTATTTAAAAAATGTAATAAAAGTAGAAAAATAAGTAATCTAAATAAGTTAATAAACCAATAATTTTTTTTCCCTTGTCAAAATAGGCCCGAGGCATTTGACATCCCTTATAACCTCTATAATTTTTTTTATGAGTATTGATAGGGACCCCTTCTAATCACTACTCTCATCACTCCCATACACACGTGACGGGTGGTGATTGAAGGAGAAGGAAAAGAAAAAAAATAAAAAATAAAAACTGACCAATGGGAGAAAGAGGGGATCAAAGGAGGTGGGAGGGAAAATGAGGTCTCACACATGCGCGCGGATCCTCTAGAGTTAATTCTTTAGAGTGATCTCCTAAAGTACTTGATCGAACGGCTCAGAAGAAAACTCACCAAAATGACGTCGTTTTGGTGAGTATTTTGGGGAAAAAAAAAAAATCAATTTTTTGAAGCTTTTTTTGCAGATCAACAATGGCTTCAATTTATCATCATCATCACAACCCAACAACCCAAATCAGATTAACTCTCTCTCTCAAATCCATTCTCTCCATCACCCTCCTCATTCTCTCTCTCTCCTCCCCCACTCTCTCTCTCTCCATAAACGACTTCACCAAATCCAACAGATACACCGCCGTCTCCGGTGGCGAGTACTCGCTTCCGCTACTCTAGCAGAGCCTAGCGCGCCACTTCATCAAACGCCTCCGCCACCCTCTTGAACCTCGCTGCCATTGTTGATCTGCAAAAAAAGCTTCAAAAAATCTGAATTTTTTTTTTTCAAAATACTCACCAGTGGGGGAGAAGAAAGAGAGAATGAGGAGGGTGATGGAGAGAATGGATTTGAGAGAGAGTTATTGCTGTGATACGGAGTTGAAAGAGAGTTTGATTGGGTTGTTGGGTTGTGATGATGATGATGAATTGAAGCCATTGTTGATCTGCAAACAGAGCTTCAAAAAATTTGATTTTTTTTTTCTCAAAATACTCACCAAAACGACGTTGTTTTGGTGAGTTTTATTCTGAGCCGTTCGATCAACTACTTTAGGAGATCACTCTAAAGAATTAACTCTAGAGGATTCGCTCGCCTCACACATTTTTGTTTTTTTATATACCTTCTCATAAAAAATAAAAAAAAATATAAATATCCCAAACAACTTCTTAATTTGGGAATAGAAACAGTTAATGGCCCGCTGTACCTGGCACTATTGCGTTCTAGAGTGAAATGGTGGAATGATGAGTGACGAGTGAAATGGTTTGAAGAGAGAGAGAGAAAGAGAGAAGACGGAGGAGGACGACACGAAGACGAACGACTAAGACGGCTTGGAAGCGAAGTGAACAACGAAGAGAACGACCATCTCTAAGCTCTCGTTCCCTTTGGTTACCAGGTTTTTATTTATTTATTTATTTATTTTTTAAGTTTGAAGTTTCAATTGAAAAAACAAAAACCAAAAACAAATTGACAGGTTGAGTTTGAAGTTGAAAAAATTAGGGTTTTTATTGTTATTTTCTGGGGCTTTTCAATTGAAAAATTAGGGGTTTTTTCTTTTTGGGTGTTTTTCAATTAAAAAATTAGGGATTGAAAAATTAGGTTTGGGGTTGGGATTTTTCTGTATCCGTTGTAGTTAACTTATTATATTTTTAATTGATTAAATTGTCTGTGTAATTTGATTTTGATTTCCATTCAGTTCTGATATGGTATATAGGCAATTCAATTTAAATTTTTATGAATATTTATTAGACCAGATGAGAGGTAAAATTGAATACATAAATAAAACTGTATCTAGCACAACTTGATATAAGATATATTGGGTGGAACAGTGTAATGTTCCTAGAAATAATTAGTCTAGTGGTCCTATTAAGAATACTTGTATATATGATATAGATGGTTACTAAGATTCTTATTGATTATTTGGTAGAATTTGATACATTATATTTTCACCTTGATAATGGATTCTTTTAAAATTGGTCATTGTCTTACTTTATTTTATTTTATTTTGTAAGTCAAATATCTTGTTTCATTAGCAATTCTATTTACATTCTGGGAATTTAATTTGATCATATTTTATGATTTTTGTATAAAACTAATAACATTGCTTAATCATTCTATTTGCATTCTTGGAATTTAATTTGAAACCCTAATGCTAGAGCTTTCTGGACTTCAATCGATGGAAGAGAAGAGCGTGATCTCGTTTGCAAAGACCACACAAGAGCTGGCAATGGAGGGCCAGAAGCATCTAGAAGAAACCATTGAATCAGCTTTCCAGATCTTGTCTTCCATGAACGACGAGCTCTGTAACCCTACCTTGTGGTCTACAACTCCTTCCTCTGCTAATAACAATAATGCAAGTTCTATCAACAATGGATATCATCATAGCAGCACTCACGCTTCCAATGGTGATGGTTCCTCTGATTTGGGTCACCACTTTGAGATGGGAGGTGGTGGAGCTCTCGAAGAGGCTCGCCTTCGCTACAAATCCTCTGTCACCTCTCTTCGTTCCATTCTCGCTGCCATCCCCAACTCTCATAAGGTAAAAATGGCTGAAATATCATTTTATGCTGCTCAATTTCAAAATCTCACACTTGAACTATGAAAATTCGTACAAATGTTACATTATCTTAAATAGTTGTGTAATTTCACGGTTGAAGAATTTGAAAGGTAACTTTTAAAATAGAAGCTCAATGCTCTGGGAGATGTTTGGGTCTAATTTTTAGATGTCACTATGGTTATCACAAAGGTGACCTTATGTTGCAGAGTAAGAAGTTCAACGAAGGCTAAATTTAAAGAAGTCAAATGATATTTGAACATTGGCATAATTTCAAAGAGAAATTGATACGAATCTTATATGATTATGTTTATAGTATTATTAGTCTTATGATTATTTTTATGCTTTGTAGGATTTTTAGGTCAAGGGTATTTTGATAATTTTCATTATTACTCTCATGGGCTGTAGGGGTTGTCTTGCGGGTCAAGTTATTTAATTAGATTTTATTTATGTTTCTTATTTAGTTTTATTTTGGTCTTAGAAGTCAAAGATATTTTAGTAGTTTCCTTTATTGGTTTGGTTGTAGTTGGTTTATGAAGTCTCTAAAGTCTATGTAAAGTCATGTAATGCTTCTAATTCAATGGAGTTGATATTTTATAAAAAATTGAGAGCTTTGAAGTTTCTTTATGGATCGTGTGATGCAATCAAACCCTGGGTGCGATGCCTATGGAATCTAGGTGCGATGCCTAGACCTATCATCTTCTTCGCTTCTTTCTTCTTCTTTTCTGTTTCAATTTATTATTTTCGGATTACTATTTACAGCCCTCAAAAAGTACACGTTCAACCTCAAAACTCCATCCAATCACCCTCAAATCAACCCTAATCCCTTCCCCTACCTATTAGCTTTCAATTTAACCCTTGAAACCCTAAATTACTCACTGTTTAGGCCATCAAATAACCTCTATTTTCAAAATCCAGCTCAGTCCCTACTTGTCTTGCATCAGTTTAAGGTTCCGCCATGATGTTTTCACATTGTGGGAGATCCTATACAAGTGGATTGACTTGGGAAGAGGTAAGCGCTTCTTAGAGAAAAAAATTCGTTTAAGGGATCTTTAATATGATTTTCTTGATCAACGGTATACACTTGAGCAAGGTAATATGTATGTGATTGATTATGCAAGAAAATATAAGGAGTTATTTATCAAGTCTGGAGTTGTCGAAAGTGAATGGATGACTATTGCTCGTTTCAAAAGTGGATTGAGATTTGGAATTTAAACAGAGATGTCTCATGCATATTTGGAAGATCTCGAAGATGCTGTTAAAATGGCTATACAATTTGAGTGTTTTGTAAAATTTACGGAGAAATCTATAGTTTTGAAGCCTGTGCATAATGGAAAGATTGTCCAACAAGAGATGCCAAAAAAAACTCCTAAACAAAGGGCTAAAGTGCCACAAGAAGATGCTGAAAAGCCACAGCAAGATGCACCAAAGCCAAATATTGTTCCAAGGGATGAAAACCCTACACAATTGAAGTTGCAAGCCAATAAATATGTTCAGAATTTTTCTAAGGTGAAAGATGACCTGATTTTGAAGGGTAATGAGACTTTATTGATGATTCAAAAGCACCCCAAGAAGATCTAATTGTTACTTGAGAAGAGGATGATGTCCAAATAGAAGAGTGAGATGTCATACAAGTTGTAAGGAGTCAAGAATGAATGCATCTTGCTACTGTTCCAGAACTTATTATGCCTTTAAAGGTCATGATATTGCAATCCGAGGTCTCCGATGTAGTGCCTACAGAGTCACCTAGTGAATTTGCTCCAATCATAGTCAATGAAGTGGTGAATCAAAAGATGACCTTGTGCTAGGAAAAGAGGCTAAAAAGAAAAGAATCGAAGTTGTTGGGAATATTGAAGAAAGCCTTATGAATTCGAAGATTGATTTCTATGCTAATTGACTTTGTTATTCCAAAAAAATTTAGTGACATGATTGAAAAGATCCATCTCTCATTATTTTTTTTGCAATCTCCAACGAAGAAAAGGTGGCATCAACTTAAACATTTTAATTTCAAGCCATGGATGTAATTTCAAAACTTGTAGATCCTTACACTCCAACATTTCAAAATTCGAGGTCGAGTTTTGAAAAGGGAGAATGATGAAGAGTATAAGAAGCTCAAGAAAGGCTAAATTTAAAGCAGCGATGGTATTTGGACATTGGCATGATTTCAAAGAGAAATTGATATAGATCTTATATAATTATGTTTGTAGTATTATTAGAGTCTTATGTTATGATTATTTTTATGTTTTGTAGGATTTTTAAGTCGAGGGTATTTTGGTAATTTTCATTATTGCTGGTCACCCATGGGTCGTCTTGTGGGTCAAGTTATTTAATTGGGTTTTATTTATGTTTTTTATTTAGTTTTAATTTGGTTTTAGAAGTCAAAAATATTTTAGTAGTTTATATAAAGTCATGTAAAAATTTGAGTTGATATAAAGTCATGAAGTCTCTAAAGTCTATATAAGGTCATGTAATGCTTCTAATTCAATGGAGTTGATATTTTATAAAAATTTGAGAGCTCTGAAGCTTCTTTATGGATTGTGTGATGCAATTAAAACCTAGGTGTGATGCCTATGGAATCCAGGTGCGATGCCTAGTCCTATCATCTTCGTCTCTTCTTTCTTTTTCTTTTTTGTTTCAATTTACTATTCTTGGATTGCTATTCATAGCCTTCAATTTAACCCTTGGAATCTTAAATTTTGAGGTTTGATGGTTAATACCTTGAATAACCCTTTCCCTTTCGTTGAATATGAATTGGTCAATTAGTACCAGAAATAACAGAAAAAGAAATTGTGGAATGGGGCATTTTATGTTACTTAGGATTTTGAAGATATTTGGTATGGGGTGTGTGGTCAATTGCGAAGTTGGAATTTGACATTCATAGAGAGTTTTTCTCTGGAAAATTTCTGAAGATGTAAGGAGTTTGGGCTTACTTTATTTTATTTTATTGGATAGCTTGAAAATGTGGTCGTGGTTTTACACATGTATTTGTGTATCTTGCAGGTGCAAGGGTTTTTCTTCTGAAAAAGCTTTTGTGTTCATTAGAGGAGAAGGTTTTTGAGAGTTTAGGAAGTGTGCCATGAAGTTTATAAAATCTACATTAGCAAGTTGGATGGCTCATGAATTATTCTGTTAACAGTAGAAAGAAATTCTCTTTTCATAAATGTGAGAATTATAACTAGAATGTAGCTATCGTTCACAACCAGAATGTAGCTATCGTTATGTTTTGCAAGATATTTCTTTGTGTTCTTTTAGAAACTAGAATGACTATCTTTGTTTAGATTATAATTTATTCTTCAGTTGAAATAACTTTTGTTCTTCAAGAGCTTGAGTTTGACTTTATTGAGATTTTTTTTCATAAAACATTCTTGAATTCATATGTTCCTAAGTAGGGCAAACGGCATCATGGTTGGAAGTTGCGACGCTACCCAATATAGAATCCTATCCTTCTTGGAACAAAGAAAGCAAATTAACAACTTTTTTTATATTCAAGAGTGATGGTTAGTGAATCCTAAAAGTTTCCACCTTTTCCTGTTAAGATTGGCAATTAACTTGTAAATGCGATTTACAAATTCTCTTCTCTGGATTTCTTGCGTCCAATTAACCATAGAACCACTTTCACATTCTTTCTGCACAAATGAATAAAGAAAATACAAGAATTCAAGCTGGTGAGTTACAAACTGGTATAGAAAATAGTATTAGCATAGTTTTGGTGTAGTTAAGTATTTCATTCCCACTATTATATGTAATAATAGTCTCATACTCCTAGCATTAGGATTAGTGTAGCAGATGTGTGAGTATTAGCAAATTGGATGGAAAATTTTAGACGTGCATAACAAATTTGAGGAGAAAACTTAATCCTCACATCAATAGTGTGTGAACAAGAGTAAATCTGCCCTGTAGATAACTCATACCATCCTTATACCATGTTCAGGGTTGCTCCTACTTGGTCTCACCAAGTATTTGCCTCACCTTAACCAAGGTTTGGCTACTCCATCGAAACATTTGAACAACCTTCTTCACTGAATTCTGTAATTTTCTTTTTCAATATTGACAGCCATATAGTTACAAGCTTCCTGTTTCTTGTTTTCCTTTATTGACCAAAACCTAATTTGTCTTACCAAAAAGTTTCAGTGGTGTGCTAAATGACAGATTACTATTAGCCATATCAAATTGCACTTGTTGAACAAATAGCTTCTTTGTCTCCTATCTATCATATTTTGGATTATATACATCATTGTATTCACCACTGATTCCAGTACCTGGGCATCTCCATACACTTCTTAAGTCCAGTGTGAGAGGCTGTTATCTACAAGTACATAGGGTTGCAAACGAGCCGAGCCGCGCTTTGCTAAGCTCGAGCTCGAGCTCGACTCATTTGCTTATCGAGCTCGTTTATTGAGTTCGAGCTTGGTGCGATAAGTAACTAGGCTGGAGCTCGGCTCAGCTCAGCTCATTAATATTAATGAAACTCGAGCTCGGTTGGGTTTGGCTCGATAAGATTTTTTTTAATATTATTTATATTATTTAAATAAAAATATTATTAATATTATTTAATATATAAATAATGTATTTTTACTATATATTTGTATATTATTTAATATATAAATAATATGTTTATTATATAATTTAAATAAAAAAAAACGAGCCGAGCTTATTCGAGCTCAAGCTCGGTTTGGTTCGTTTACTAAACGAGCCGAGCCAAGCTTGTTCATGAACAGCTCGGTTCATTTGCAGCCCTACAAGTACATAGAATTGTCACTTGACAAATGTCATTTAATGATGTTGGATGTGTTGATCAGGAGAATGGCTGTCTTTTATTAGTTGGGATTGATAGTGGGAGAGAATAGTGGGAACTGTAGAGTATTGGTCTCTGTGCCCGTTTGGCAACTTGGCTTTTTAAGTGTTTTTTGGCTTTGTAAGTGGTTTTTTCGCTTTTTTATGAGGTGAAAAAAGTTGTGTTTGGAATGGGTTTTTCAGCTGAATATATAATTGTGAGGGAATAAGTTATTGATTGATGTGTATGATCCTGTGACATTTTGGGCTTTTTGGCTTTTTTAGCCATAAAGCCAAACAGGCTTATGACTCTTTCACTGTTCTAAGCTGGTTTTTAATTTTGTGAAAACCCTTGTAACTATTCATCTTTACATCTTTGTCATATTAATTCAATTTATCGAAATATTTTTTCTTGGTGATTCGTCAAAATTTATGCTCAAATTTTAAGATTATGGCAATATATGTAACTGCTGAGTAAAAATATTGCTGCCTTCAATTTTATGCATTTACTTTGAAGAATCTTTCTTAGAAAAAAAAGGCTACCCTTAGAGGTGTTTGTGGCTACAATTCAAGAACTTTGTTTTCCATGACCCATTGCTAAAGCTAATACCATCTGTTTTTTTGTATTTGGATAGGCAAAAGCATATGATACTGGATCAACAACTAGCAGTTCAGCATCTGAAATTGAGAAATTGGAAGAGCGAGCTTCTGTGTTAAAAGAGGTATTCACCACATATTCAGATTGTGAATCTACAGTTTTTAGGATTTGTGTTTTGTTGTTTTTCTGTTTTGGGATGTTGGGAAGACCCCTTCTTGAGGGGCAGTATTCATTGTGGCGGTGATGTATGATTTGAATGATTTTGCTTTGTGCCTCTGGTAGTTGCAGTGCTACCATCTGGACTGTATTTTATAACCATGAAATAATATGTATACGAGCACACATGCACCCTTGCATATACAATTAAGATACTTAATTTTGTTATTTGTGCATATCTGCTTTTTATGTTGCATGTACACGAATTGTTTAGCATCCTAAAGCGGTTTGCTTAAAAAACAAAAAACGAAAAAACTTCCTTTTTGCGAGAGTGATTTTCATTGGAAATGTTATGATATGTTTGGTTGTGATTGAGACAATGCTTAGTTTGGTTTGGTTTGGTTTGGTTATGTTTCTTATATTGCAGGAGCTTGCAAACAAAAACAAGTATTTCAAGCATCTCATAGATCAGCTACGGGATCTTATAACTGACATATCAACATGGCAAAGTCCTTGTTCTGTCTAATGGTCCCTGAAGATTTGTCTGCAATATGGCACGTAATTGTACTTGAGTCCCACAATCCATCTGAGGTGATAATACTGTCTTTACCTTGTTGGGTGTGTGACGCTGCAAATTTATTCAACAAAGTTGTTCTTGAATGGTTCGGTTGTGGGTAATGAGGTTCTATCATACAAAGCGTCCGATTAAGGAGAGATTCTATGCAACAAATGGAGCATTTGTAAGGTTGTTGAATGTGCAGAACATCTGTCATTATGAAAGATGTGTCGGGAACTGAACCATTATTTTCTTATTAAACCTGTCTGATATATCTAGACTTACAGCTCTATGGATCTAGAATTGTAACTGAGCTGATGATTAGTGGACAATTAGTGAGTGCATTTGATTTGGATTCTCTTAGACCCTGTTTGGTTCAAACTTGTTCCCAATTAGATGAAAAATGGGTACAGCCTTTTGTAGTCTACTTTTGTCGCTCTCCGACTATGGTCATGTCTGCTGTCCATGGGTCAGCAACTCGATAGATTGTCCAAATAATTTATGCTGTGTTTGGATGGAAATGCTGGAAAAAAAAAAAAATGTTTCTGATTTGATGGGTTGGGTATTTGGAAATCCTAAATTTAATTGCACAACTGTTTTGAAAGAAGGAAACCAAGTTTTCAGTTAAAAAATGTTTTCATTTATTCCTTCTCTTCTAACCATCACCACTGACAACTACATTCGGTCACTGTAGCCGATGACTTTCTCCAATTACCATGGGCCACTACCTCGAGAAGCTAGCTATATCGGCCACCATCTCAAGCAGCTAGTTACCATCTCCAACCATCAGTAACCACTTCCGGCCATTACTTTCCCCAACTGGCAACCGCCTGAGACCACCACTTCTAGCACAGCCAAAAATCATTGACAACCACCATTTTCAACTGTCAAAAATCACTTCCTCCCACCAGCTGCCCCTTTCATTTGTTTTTAAAACAAGTTTTTACATATGTATACCAAATATGTATTTTGCTTTCATTTTTACCAAAAATAAATTTACACATGTTTAATATTTTCTATAAATAAAAACAATAAATTGCAATCATTGCCAAACAAAACCCAAGTTTGTTTCTGTTCACAACACACTGAGCTGGAAAAGAGATTTCACAGTTGAAAACAACATGAAAATTTCCATTTTATTCATTATGCACAAATCCATAGTTCAGAGGAAAGGAAGCTGCAAAACCTGTGTGACGAAGAATACTCAGCACTCGGCAGCAACCATACACACAAGACAAACCAATCTGACTTTTAAGCTTGAATCTGCAGAAGCACATCTTCCATTGATCTAGTAGCAGACTCTAGAAACCTTAATGATGATTATATTGCAAATAGAAGGGAGCCAAAATTGGTAGTTCAGAAACTAAGCCATATGTTGGAGTGGATTTGGCTCCAGAAATCCAGACTCAACTGGGACGAACGGTGATAAAAACACCAGATTTTTCCATCTAGTAGCCACAGGCAGACAAAGAAGGAACCTTCTAAACTCAATCATCGTTAATGGTTCAGAAATTGAAGACCCCCAAGCAATCACGGATGTGGTAGCTCAGCATCCTCGGATGGGTCAAATCGTGTTTTGTAAAATTTGAAAAAAATAAAATAATATATATATATATATATATTTAAGAAAGCGTGTTTTGTAAGCACAATTCTTAATAGACAGTATGTTTACGAATTACGCTTTCAACACAATTTTTTTTTAAACGAATTTTGTTCCGTGGACATAAATTTTGTTTTTTATACACAAAATTTTCTCATTCTCATGTGTTCCTTATACGTATATATACATATGTCATATGTGAACATTATGTTAATAAAAGGCCAATTTTTAATTTTGGGTTTATTACATTTTATACCCCTAAACTATCACTAAATTGTCTATTTAGTCCATGAGTTATCGATTGAGTCTATTAAGTCCCTAAAGTATAAAAATCAAAATCTATTTAGTTCCTAAACTATCAATTGAATCCATTAAACTTCTAAACTATCTATTGAATCCATTAAGTCCCTAAAGTATTTAATTCAAACCTATTTAGTCTCTATACGAATTATAATATCTATCTATCTATCTATCTATATATAAGCTCATAAGTATTACAAATTAATAAAAGGCCCTGTCTAATTAAAATTTTATTTCAAAAAAACTTTAAAATTTTTATTCTGTCTTTGAAAAATGAGTATCAGTTCTTATGATGAATTTCCTTTATAAAGGTAATGGTAATTATCTATAGCATTTTCTTACATATCTTTTACAATGGTTACGTGTTTGCATTTATCAAGTATTATTATATGTTAGATTTTGTTTATAATTTATAATTGATTATTTTTAAAAAAAATTTATAACTTAATTAATGCATTATTTTGTTCTATTATTATTTGTAGCGAAGTGTTATTCTTTAAATTAACTAATTATACTTTTTAGTATATCCAGTGCTCATATAATTTTATTGACAAGATTGAGAAATCATACTCTAATACTAATTTAAACATACAACAAAATAAAACACCTTTTATTAAAGACAAAATAAAAATTAAGATTTTTCTGTAATAAAATCTTAATTAGTTAAGATCTTTTACAAATTTATAATACTTGCGAGAGAAAATTGGTGATAAATCCAATCTAAAGATTGCTTGATGTGTTGGGTCTGCTAGGTTTTTTTTTTTTTTTTTTTTTTTTTTTTTTTTTTTTTTTTTTTTTTTGGGTGAGAAGTACCTACTTTGTGAAATATTGTGTCAAGAAGTACATTCTGTTGTTTTGGATGACATTTTGTTTTTAGTTTTGCCTTTTTATTTTCAACCTATCTGTCAAATCTTTTTTTATTTGTTTAATTTTTTGAACCTATCTGATCAAATTTGTATCTATTTGTCCAAATTATTTTAACATATTTTGATTTATCTATTGGAATTCACCAAGCCTTATTTATCTTATTTGTTGAAATTTACGAAGCCTATTTTTTCTTATCTGTTGAACCTATATGTTGTTTTATTTTTATTTTTATTATCTATTCAACCTTTAAATTTTTTCCCTCTCTGTTGAAACTATGTGTTCAAATTTTTTTTTTATCTATTCAATTTTTTTTTTATCTATTCAATTTTTTTTTTTCTATTGAAATAAGTCACTATTTCATTTTTTTAATCTGTTGAAACAAGGTCTACCCAGGACTTCTATTTATATGTTGAAACAATTCCTTTCTCCTCTCCCTGTTTATTTGTTGAAATAAAGCAATATATCTCTGTTTCTTGAGAGGAGGGTTAGGAGTGGGGCAAGCGGTAGGGAGCAAGGATCCTCTAGAGTAATTTTTCCCTAAAGTTTCCTAGAGTACTACATTGTGTGGTTGAGATTTACTGGCAAGTCACATCAATTTTTCTGATGTGACTTGCCAGTAAATCTCAAGCACACAATGTAGTACTCTAGGAAACTTTAGGAAAATTTCACTCTAGAGGATCCTTGGTGAGCGGTAGGGGTGTGGTTTGGGGTGGGATAAGAGACTCCCGACCCATATTCTACTCGTTGCCATCCCTAACCAAGTATTTTGGTTTTTTTCAAGCATACATGCAAAAACACACCTTAATTTATTTAAGCGCACACACAAGATATATATATATATATCTCAGGAATAAAAAATTTAAAAAAAAAAAATGCGCACACACAATATAGAAATTAAACACAGACAATGATGCCAAACATTTTCAGATATTAAAAAAAAAAGAAAAGAAAAAAGCACATTCCTAATTCATTTTATCCGCCTACTACTAAACTTCTCATCATCCTTCTCCCCCCTTGTTCTCCTCAATTTCCACCCTCCTTATGCACAAAAGGGGAGCTTTTGGCCACAAAGGAAAGTTCAGACTAATAAGTGATCAGCGACTACATTATCAGAAATTTGACTACTTGGTTAGGCTTACACAATCGAGGCGTTTCGTTTCAATTGAAAGGTACATGATAGTATCTCCCTTTGCAAAAGCACATGGAACAATTGGGCATGACTCAGTTGAGCACTTGAATCCCACCATCACCCTCTTGCATGGAAAGCACGATTTGCATCCGTGGGAACAGTCTGGCAGGCTCGAACCAGTTGGGTATAGTTCCATCTCAAGCTCTTCCTTTGCTACATTCTAAGATATTACAACATATAAAACATGTAAGAATAACTAAAAAGGACTAGTTTTCATAAAATATTTTGAATGTCACGATAAATAGTTGTTTTTGTAAAGCATTAGAAGGATGACAACATAGTCACTTTTGGAAACAAACTTCCGGGTACATATGGCTTTCTTGATCTCCATTATAGGTGCCGGAAATGTCTAAGGAAAAAGCACAAACATAGGTCATCGATGATCCCAAAAAAAAAAAAATACATATAACTAAAAAATAAAAATTAAACTTTGAGTGCCCAAAAATGTGTACAAACTAAGTTATTGGCGATGATGAAAAATTAAGGATGTGCTTACGACGATGAGAAGGGTAGCTTAGAGTGATTGCCATGAAGAGGAATGCAATGGTGAACAATGTGTGAAATCCAAGTAAGAGAATGTTCTTCATATTTCTTAAATAATCTTTTTTGTATGTGTTACTGTTGAAGCAAACACACAAGAAGTTGTAGAAACTATGAAGAGATGTTAGTACGTTACAAGGGGAAGTAGAAGATGTTGGAGTGGATTTGGCTCCAGAAATCCAGACTCAACTGGGATGAACGGCGATAAAAACACCAGATTTTTCCATCTAGTAGCCGAAGGCAGACAAAGAAGAAACCTTCTAAACTCAATCATCGTTAATGGTTCAGAAATTGAAGACCCCCAAGCAATCAAGGATGTGGTGCCTCAGCATCCTCGGATGGGTCAAAACGTGTTTCGTAAGCGTATTTACAAAACACGCCTTTTTTTGAAATTTGAAAAAAAAAAAAAATATTAAGAAAGCGTGTTTTGTAAACATAATTCTTAATAGAAAGTGTGTTTACGAATCACGCTTTCAATACAAATTTTTTTTAAACAAATTTTGTTCCGTAAACATAAATTTTGTTTTTTTAAACACAATTTTTTCTCATTCTCATGTGTTCCTTATATGTATATATACATATGTCATATGTGAACATTGTGTTAATAAAAGGGCAATTTTTAATTTTGGGTTTATTACACTTTATACTCTCAAACTATCGCTAAATTGTTTATTTAGCTCATGAACTATCGTTGAGTCTATTAAATTCCTAAAATATAAAAATCAAAATCTATTTAGTCCCTAAACTATCAATTGAATCCATTAAACCCCTAAACTATCGATTGAATCCATTTAGTCCATAAAATATTTAATTCAAACTTATTTAGTCTCTAAAAGGATTACAATATCTATCTATTTATCTATCTATCTATATATACATATAAGCCCATAAGTATTACAAAATAATAAAAGACCCTATCTAGGTAAAATTTTATTTCAAAAAAACTTTAAATTTTTTATTCTATCTTTGAAAAATGAGCATCAGTTCTTATGATGAATTTCCTTTATAAGGGTGATGATAATTATCTATAGTATTTTCTTACATATCTTTTACAATGGTTACGTGTTTGTATTTATCAAGTATTATTATTTGTTAGATTTTGTTTATAATTTATAATTGATTATTTATAATTATTTTTTTTATAACTTAATTAATATATTATTTTGTTCTATTATTATTTGTAGCGAAGTGTTATTCTTTAAATTAACTAATTATACTTCTTTAGTATGTCTAGTACTCATATAATTTTATTGACAAGATTGAGAAACCATATTCTAATACTAATTTAAACATACAACAAAATAAAACACCTTTTATTAAAGACAAAATAAAAAATTAAGATTTTTTGTAATAAAATCTTAATTAGTTAAGATCTTTTACAAATTTATAATACTTACGAGAGAAAATTGGTAATAAATCCAATCTGAAGATTGCTTGAGGTGTTGGGTCTGCTACTTTTGTTTTGTTTTTGTTTTTGGGTGAGAAGTACCTACTTTGTGAAATATTGTGTCAAGAAGTACATTATGTTGTTTTGGAAGACATTTTGTTTTTAGTTTTGTTCTTTTATTTTCAACCTATCTGTCAAATCTTTTTTTATTTGTTGAATTTTTTGAATCTATTTGTACAAATTTGTATCTATCTGTCAAAATTATTTTAACATATTTTAATTTATCTGTTGAAATTCACCAAGCCTTATTTTTTTGTTAAAATTTACAAAGCTTATTTTTTCTTATCTGTTGAACCTATAGATCACCTATATGTCGTTTTTTAAAATATATATATATATATATTCAATCTTTTAATTTTTTTCCCTCTCTGTTGAAACTATGTGTTCATTTTTTATTTTATTTTATTTTTTTTAATTTTTTTTTTATCTGTTGAAACAAGGTCTACCCTGAAACAATTCCTTTCTCCTCTCTCTATTTATTTTAGGGGTGAACAGCGGATATACCGATCTGCCAAAACCGATCGAATCGAAACGATCTGCCGCATTTTGGATGAATGTGTGATGACGAACGGACGGTTGCGGAATGATTTTCTCCAATCCACCAATTTAGCGGACTGATGGTGGATTTGAGATTCTTTTGGCCGCAACCGAACCGCCAAACCGCGAGCACCCCTAATAATTTATAAGACTTTATGTTATCAATTTGTTTAAATATTTTGTTTGTGTTTTCAATTGAAAAAGAATTTAAATATTCTGTTGAAAAAAAGTTTTCAACTTGAATATATTTTTTGAATTAAAAAAAATAAACGTATTATTTATCTATATTTTTTGGTTTTTAAATTTAACTTTAAAAATCATAAATAGAAAATATGATATACGCTAGTTGGTTTTTGTTTTCAAAAACATATATAGATTTTACAATACAGAGACATACAATCTCTACTACTGCTATGTTCATGGTTTTGGTAATTTGAACAGATTGTTATACTTTATGTGGATGAATCATGCTGTGATTGTAATATGTGGATGAGGCATGTAGTGACTGTGATATTTTAAAGTTTCAAACTTTCTTTTTTTGGATGAGGCATACAGTGATTGTAATACTTTTTTAAGTCATTGACTGTAATTTTTTTTTTTTTTTTTTTGAGGAAGTGCACAAGTTGAATTATGTTGAAAATTTATAAAATTTTAAACCGCCAAACTGATTCGCATCCATCCACCAAACCGCCAATCCGCTCAATCCACATCCGCCGGATTGGCGGACGAATGCAGATTGATTTTCTCCAATTTGTCAATCTGGCAGACGGTGGCGGATTGGAGGTTCTGTGGCCGCAACCGACCCGCGCCCACCCCTAGTTTATTTGTTGAAATAAAGTCATATATCTCTGTTTCTTTCTCATCAACCACTTCAATCCCTCACTTCTCAACCACCATTCGTCGATCTTTAGTAAGATCGCAGATGAGGGTTTTCGGTAGAATTAAAGGTACCGAGCCAAACCCCAGTTTGCTTCTATGGGTCTCTAATTCAGATTTGTTCGTCGCTCTTAGGTGCTCTGGCTCATTTCATAGCCAGAGAGAGAGAGAGAGAGAGAGAGAGAGAGAGTTTTAGAGAGAGATGGATAATTAGTAGAGATGGAGAATCAATCGATACTTACAACATCAAAGACACCAATAAGGAAACGCTGGTATTTAAAAAAAGAATAAAGATTGTGACCCCCTTTCCCCTCACCCACTTTGACCCCCATTCTTTTTTGATTGGCCACTTTTTCTTTTTTTTCTTCGCCTCCAATCACCATCCCCCACGTGTGTGTGGGGGGGTGGTGGGGGTTGAAGTTTGAAGGAGTCTAAATCACTGCTGATAAAAAAGTTCATAGAAATGCTTATAGCTGATGTTTAATGGCTTTGCTAATTTTTAGTTACGGTGGCAATTTCTCACAAGACAGAAATTTATTGTTATTATTATTATTATTATTATTAGTTTGGATGGTAGTAAATCAAGCATAGGAATGGCAAAATATCCCAATCTTGTGGTTCCTGACTCTCCCCATCCTAATGGATGGGTTTGGAAATAATTGAATACGGTAGGTCAGATTTGGATAAAATTTTAAAAAACCTGATTGATTTTTTGTCGGGGTGGGGGAGAATATGTCTTTTACTCAAACCCTACTTGACAGCAAATATAATAATAAATAAATAATAATATTACAATGAATAATAACATATGTATCAATTAGTATACTAATTAGTGCATCAATTGATGATATGACATAATTTAAGAGATTTTTGATATTTGTAATGTGATTAATAAGTGTGGTCGATAATAATGTCATAACTAGTATCGGTATACTAGTTAGTACACTATTTGGTGCATATAGCACCACCGTATTACATATATTGTAATATGTGTATAATATATTATTGAATTTTTATAATATATATATATATATATATAAAATATCTATATAATGTATTATTGAGTTTCTATTATATTATATATAATATAATTTTAATATATGTGCAATATAATATATATATATATATATATTTTAATTATAATATAGACAAGTAATGAATAACAAAAAATAAAAATTAATTAAAAAAACTACTTCACAACTTATTTAGCAAACACTACTCAGTAACTTAAATCAATAATTCAATAGTTACACCAAACAGATTAACAGTTTTTGATTAAAGTCATAATTTATAATCTATCGGCAAAAATTGGGGAGGGTGTGGTGTGGTGTGGTGTGGTGTGGTGTGGGGTGGGGTAAGGGATTCTTGACCTATATCTTACTCGTTGTCATTCCTAATCATATCTTACTCGTTGTCATTCCTAATCAAGCATCTTGATTTTTTCAAGAATACACACAAAAACACATGTTAATTAGTTCAAGCACACACAGCATACATCTATCTCAGGAAAAGAAAGGAAAAGAAAAGGGCACACACAAGATAGAAATTAAACACAGACAATGATGCCAAACATTTTCAGATATTAAAAAAAAAAAGAAAAGAAAAAAGCACATTCCTAATTCATTTTATCCGCCTACTACTAAACTTCTCATCATCCTTCTCCCCACTTGTTCTCAATTTCCACCCTCCTTATGCACAAAAGGGAAGCTTTTGGCCACAAAGGAAAGTTCAGACTAATAAGTGATCACCGACTACATTATCAGAAATTTGACTAGTTGGTTAGGCCTACACAATCGAGGCGTTTCGTTTCAATTGGAAGGTACATGGTAGTATTTTCCTTTGCACAAGCACATGTAAACAATTGGGCATGACTCAGTTGAGCACTTGAATCCCACCATCACCCTCTTGCATGGAAAGCACGATTCGCATGCGTGGGAACAGTCTGGCAGGTTCGAACCAGTTGGGTATAGCTCCATCCCAAGCCCTTCCTTTGCTACATTCTAAGATATTACAACATTGAAAACAAGTAAGAATAACTAAAAAGAACTATTTTTCATAAAATATTTTGAATGTCGCGGTATATAGTTGTTTTTGTAAAGCATTAAAAGGATGACAACATAGTCACTTTTGGAAACAAACCTCCGGGTTCATATGGCTTTCTTGATCTCCATTATAGGTGCCGGAAATGTCTTAAGGAAAAAGCACAAACATAGGTCATCGATGATCCCAAAAAAATATATATAACTAAAAAATAAAAGTTAAACTTTGAGTACCCAAAAATGTGTACAAACTAAGTTATTGGTGATGATGAAAAATTAAGGATGTGCTTACAACGATGAGAAGGGTGGCTTAGAGTGATTGCCATGAAGAGGAATGCAATGGTGAACAATGTGTGAAATCCAAGTACGAGAATGTTCTTCATATTTCTTAAATAATCTTTTTTGTATGTGTTACTGTTGAAACAAACACACTACAAGTTGGAGAACCTATGAAGAGATGTTAGTACATTACAAGAGGAAGTAGAAGATATAGAAGATATTCAAAGGAATTGAAAGAGGAGAGTTTGAGAGGGGAATGTGATGATAGACAATGGCATAAGGCAAACAATATACATGTATATATATATGTGATAAAAAAGGAGTGAGTTGGTTTTAGTTTTAAATGTAGAATGTACATCTGATTCGCTTCACAAGATTCACGGCAACTTTTCCAAGGTTGCACATGATTTGGTGAGCCATCCAAATTTGATAAGTAATATCAGAAAATTTTCTCTCACTATATAATACAAAATCATTTTACACAGAGAACTCACAACATATTCATTTAATCTCCACCTCATACTCAAATTCTAGGCACAAATCTGGGCCTAAATTCTGAATTTGGGATTGTTTGGGGTGTCTTAAATAAGTGCACTTTGTCTTTTTGGACTAAAAAATTGAGGAAAAAAATTATAGATGTTTGGGTTAACTTTTTGACTTTTTATAGAAAAATGTGTATTAAAAAATTGTATAAATTAGTGTGTAGGAGAAAATTAGGATTGAGAGTTGTGCAGCTGTAATGTTTGACTTTTGGTGAATAGTGATAACTTTTTAATTTTTTGAGTAACTTTTTTAATTTTTAGCTTTTTTTCAACTTGCCAAACTTGGCCTTACTTAAATTTTATTGAGAGATTTAGGGAGATTGTGATTGGTGGAGATGATAGGATAATAGGGTTCACTACTTTATGTTGAGGATTGGGGAATTGTAATTGATAATTGATACGTAGCAGGAGTCACATGGTGTCCAATGGGCACCGAATAATTTTTGCATAAATGAATTTCTTATATGATATTTTATTATAAGACGTAAGGTAATATGTATAAATGTTGTGATGCCTCAAATTTTTGGAACATCAAGGGAAATTAAATAAATAAAATGACTTAATAAATTAAAAAGTTGACATCTTAATAAGGCAATCCAACTCTCGTACATAGCGAAATGTTCAAATAACAATAGATAAAAACTTAAAATTATCCAAATACAACATCAAATGAAATTATAAAGTCCTTAATAGCTATTATATAAAATAATATAATTCATTCGGCTCTAATCGGGGTTTCAAGTCAGCCAAGGCTCTACGTTCGCGTCAACAAAAATATATGCCATGAGTTTTGCAACACAGTAAGAAAACATAACCAACCTATCATTCTTTTAAAGAAAAAATTAATGAGATTATAAACATGAGGTAACAATATAGTTGTAAACATAAATTACAACCATTAAAATAATTTCAATAATTTTAATAAATTAGGTGACACTCGAAACCTCACCAAAGAGATTTAACTTACCAACCACTAAGCATGACAACGGTTAATTTGAAACCCTCCCTTGGTCAAATATTCAAGTGTTACCAACCGTAACTGCCAGGGATGCCCACGTCCGGAGTTATACACCCAAGCAGTGGCATCCGTGGTCTGCCCCAAGGAAACGGTCTGCCAGGGGTACGTAACCTCACTGTGTGCCACCTGCACATCCATCCTTATTCCAAAACCAAATACCGAAAAGAGTTCAAATAAGTCCCGTGCCATCTTAGGATTTCGCGACAATTTACACGAGAATTCTCAAAACCAGGGCTCACCCTAAACAACCAGTATTAAGGCCAAGTTTGGGATGTTCCAAAAAAGCCAAAAAATTAAAAAGTTACTCAAAAAGTTAAAAAGTTAACACTATTCACCAAAAGTCAACAATTACGGCTGCACAACTCCCAATTCAAATTTTTCCCAATTTTTTATTACACATTTTTCAATAAAAAGTCAAAAAGTTAACCCAAACATCCATATTTTCAACCCCAATTTTTTAGTCCAAAAAGACAAAAAGTGCACTTATTTAGTCTTCCCAAACTTGGCCTAACTGTCAACCCTTAATTTCGTACACTCTTTAAAACCAAGACTCACCCTGAACAACTGGTATTAATCGTCAATTGTTAACTTTGTGTATGCCGTTAATCATTTCAGTTAATTTTGATATTAATCACAAATAATTCCAAATTTTTAATCACAAGTAATGTATCATTGGTTAAATTTTGTGTCTCTTTCTTGTTGAGATATTCACAATAATTCAAAATAATGTTATACCAACTCATTAAAATTCGAACATAAAATATTACACATGTCACACAATAATAAATAATTGTACAAAATTTAAATAAACAATTCATTTAAAATCATGTTCCAATTGCCCAAATTTAGTTTTAATTCATCTTAGTAATATCAACCCACAATTCTAAAATATAAATTAGACTTCCCAACCTCTTGAAATTCCATGATGTATACAATACAAATAGATCCAATTTTACTATTAATAACAAAATCAACTTAACTCAATCCTTAACCAAATACTTGATTTATAATCATGGGTGTTCTAAAATGTATCTAAATTGAATAAAATTCTTAAATTAAATCACATGCATAGATTAAATAAAAATCTAATTATAAAATCAAAACTTTAGGATTAATTTCAAATTTCCATAAACTTGACTTTCTTAAAACATTTCCTTCATCTCTTCAAAAAGAACTTGAATGACTCAATTTCATATAAGACAAATAAATTCAAACCCAAAAGGGTTATTTTCAAATTAACTTTTATAATTTTGAATCTAATTTAATTGTACACCATTTTACTAATTCCTTTTAATGTACATGAAATTAAAGTTATATGACCCTTAGGAAAATATTTGCATGTATGACATTAAGATTAAAACTAATTAATTCTTCTATATTCAAAATTAAACCAATGTTTAATTTTCCATAAACTTGATTTTTTTTTTTAATAAAATTTCTTCCTTCTTTTCTTCAAAACATGAAATCGTTTACCTTAAATTCCTAAAAATCCATAATGCATGTATAAAACACTTATCAAATCCAACCAAATTTTACATCATCAAGCTCAATTTATAATTTGACTTCTTAATTTATATCACAATTTAATCTCAAGCTCATAAACTTTAAAATATGAATTAAATTCTAAAATCTTGAAAACTTACCATGCATGCAATGATAAACTTCAAATATGTGAAGGATGAAGAAAATCAAACTCAAATATTTAATCTCAACATCAATTTCTTAATAATTAATTTCTACTTTATTTTCCATGATCATCCACATGCATGTAACCCATTTCATGTTTAGAACCCAATTTCCTTCATATCTAACCCAAATTTAAACTTATCAATCTTTTACACATGAATTAAATCTAAAACCTTGAAAGTCCAACATGCATGCAAGGATGAATTTCAAGTTTGTGAAAAATAATAGAAATCAAACTCTAACTACTTAATTTCCAAATATATTTCCATGATCTTAACACATAATTCAAAATTTCTTCATCTTCTTGCTAATTCCTATTAATTACATGATTTTGATTCCAATTCCATCCTTACTTTCAAGTGTGATACAAGGATTCTACAACAATCAAGGTTAAAATCCTTACCTTTAACCTCCCATGGCTGAATTTCTTTTTAATTCCTTGAGTCCTCTCCTTTATCTTCATGTAGATCTCATAAACTCATTTCTCCAAAGTTTCTTCCAGCATAAGAGTTGGACCTCTCTCTCTTACTCTCTCTCTCTCTCTCTCTCCCGTGCACTCTCTCTAATTTGACTCGAGCAAAAACTAAGCTTTGTGACTCCATTCTTCATCTTTTATTTTATTATTTTATTTATCAATTTAGTGGGACACTTGTCCACATAATATGAATCCATATTTCATTAGCTTAACACAGTAATCACACTTGATTTCCAGCACATCACATACACACACACGTGCACTCATCTAAGGCTCCCAACACAACACTCTCACGTGCGCACACTAACAGATGTCTTTGTACACACACTTTATTTTCAATACACCCACACCCACATGCACTCTCAATTTTTTAAGCCATTATACTAATTAATTTAATTGAGCAATACTTAGTCTTAATGAATCTTGATTGACACAAAAGTAGTTAATTATAACTAATCTTAAATCTCACCTAATTTAATTAGTCTAATTGACTTCCATTAGAGTCTGATTAAATATATTATTATTATTTTTTTTATATAAAAATACGGGATTTTTCAGTTTAAAAATATACAAACTGTTAAATTCAAAATATTGTGAATAATTACTTAAGAAAATTGAATATATATTATTTTCGTTATATAAAAATACGGGGTTTCACAAATGTGGAGCCTACTGTTTTTGTGTCTAACTACAAAAAAAAATCAAATAAAAAAATTATTTATGTATGCAATCCAAGTAACATTATGCATGAATTTATTTCAATATGTAATGGTCCATATTTATGTACGCAATAATGTTACGTGTACAAAACCTTAATATATATAGCTTCTTTTCATTCAAAATGAATGTACAATTTATATTAATTTTTTCTTTTTTAGAACTATTGTAATGATTATTGGATTCCAGCACCTACACCCATCCTTCTCAAAAATCAGATTTCAAATTCAGCTCTACTTCTCTCTGTGATCTCCCCACTAGTGCCACAATAAGGGACCGAATAGCTAATGAATTCTCTTTTTCCCCCTCCCATTGCTTTGTTCATTTTCTCTCTTCCTCTCTCACGATTGGAATCTCCTGATAAACTCATTTGGGGCTTCTTTCATTCAGAAGACTTCACTGTTAGCTCAGCATATCATCTTCACATTAATCTGAAGCGTCAAGAGATGTTTCTTTCATCTACTTCGTATTCATCTTCTTCTTCTCCTTATGATTTAATGCCTTCCTCCGCTTTTCACACCTCTTGGCCCAAATGTACCTGGGAGCAACTTTGGTCTATTCCAATTCCTTTCAAAATACAATTCCTTATGTGGCAAATCTGCCATGATTGTCTCTCTTGGTGAGGTTTTTTCAAGTATGTCCTTTTTGCCTTAGGCACATTGAAACCTCCATTCACATTTCTTTATTGTGATTTTGTTAGACCAATTTGGTTTGATTCTCAGCTTGATTTTTTAACTTCCACAATCCAGTCATCTTCTTTGTCCTATTGGTTGGGGTTTGGGTTTAATTTTGCCTTTAGTTGCAAGCCTAAACAATTGGATATTCTACTCCAAATTTCCTGCATATTGTGGACCATTTGGGATGCTAGGAATAAGATTGTGTTTGATTTGAAAAAACTGTACCCCATGCAAGTTATGCTTCAAGCTAACGTTCTTTACTCTTCCGTTTCACAAGCACTCACTATCTCTTCTCGTAATCTCTTTGCTGACCAACTTTTAGTTGAGCCTTACACTCAACTTCAACCCCCCTCGTGCACCATCCTCTAAATCCTTTAATTTTTTTTAAACCAATGCAACCTGTGTGGAGAACAATTTGGTTGTCCTTGACATACACTATGGTGTTGTTTGCAACAATAATGATCTAGCTATGGGGATTTGTTGGGTCTTGTGGACCTTGATAAGTACTGTTCACTAGACCCTAGGTCCAATAGGAGTTTGGGGGGCCTCCTCCCAATGGGAGAGGGTACTATGGTAATTTCATGTTGCTTCCATATTGCTCTAATTCTATACTTGTAAATAAATGAAGGGGGCTCCTCTTGTATTGCAGAAAATTGTATTGTTTTTTTATCATAGTGAAAACTACAACAGCCGTGGACGTAATCCTATTTTAGGATGAACCACGTAAATTCTTATATTCTTGTGTGCGAATGAATTCTTTGATTCATTTTATCTTTCTTATTTATTATTTTATATCTCACTGGTCCTAGTTAGAAAAAGACGATTTCCTAACAAGATTGGAGTTGTGTTCAAACTAACTGTTCTGTGGATTCTTTATTAAAGAAATTATTGTTCAAGGGCCTAGTGCTCACATAACAACAGCCATTGCTACCGTCAAATGGGCCGAAGAACACTCTTTTGTAAATTTTAATATCATTACTAACTCAATATTTCTTTCAACAGCTAGAGAACAGTAAAGAATTGCAAGTCATAGCAGCCCCATTGTTTTTTTATTTCTACAATGTAGTTTGATTTTTCAATATTTGCAGAATCTCACTAGGTAATAGCTAATTGATCTCACAAGCTCTCCGTTTGACTAGTTTTGTTTTTTTTAAGAATTCATGCGGAAAGTAGTACTTCTTTCCCTTTTGAGAATGGGTGAAGAAGCATTTAGCTATGGAGGCTTTGGCAATTATGTTTAGATTTTGTTTGTATTACTGCTTATGTTATTTGGTGTTGGTGTTGTATGGTGTTGTGTGGATCCTTAAACTCTTCTAATCTTTTATCTCTATCAATGAATTTCTCTTTTTTGCCAAAAAAATATTTATGAAAAAAAAAAAAAAAAAGCTAATAACTCTTCATGCATTACTTGTCATGATATCGGGAGCTGTTAAACAAATCAAGTTACTAGAGTTCAATTCGTTAAAAACTTATTCGAGAACGATTTGTTATTTGAATAAGTCGAATTTAAATATATTTTAAATTAAAATTTATTAAAAGTTTTTAGGCAAAACTTGAATGTCTTTCTACTTAGCTCGATAAGTTTACATACATTATAACACTCTTGAATGAATAGAATAAAATTGTCATTCTTTATACTCTCGTATAAAGTGTTAATGATATTATATTTTTTTAATAAACAAAATATAAGAATATATATTTCGATAAAATTTTCATTCCAATAAACCAAATGCTAATTAAATTCACTCAGAATCTACTTGTTATATAAATAATATTCAAATGTTAAACACATTTTAAATCTGGTTAAATTTTCATGCCAAGTCAAATAACCTAGTATTTGACTTAATATCTTCAATGAATTAAGAAAAAAGCATCTCTTGACAGTAATTTTTTAACATAAAAAGTCTAGAACACAAATAAGTCACAAAGAGTTGAAAAATAAATAAAGATGACACCGTTGCATACTATCAAATGGCATAATGTATAAACAATTTACATAGTGTTGTAAATTATATTGTTTTTGGTTGGCATTGTAAATTAAGTGTTTCAAACAATTTTATATACATATTGTGTACTCACAGCAATACCATTCAAATCGAGACACATGAAAGGCCTTATCCACTAAATGAACAATTTAGTGTGATTTCTAACACCAAATACATTCCAAATAAAGATAAATAAAGAATGTGCTGCTCACTAAACAAGAACAGTTACACTGTTTACGGTCAAACAAGCATCCAACCACCACCCTCTACGAAAATTTTAAAAATAAATAAATAAAATAGAAAGGGCTGCCAAACACGGCTGCAGTACCAAACTTGTAAAATTAGTCTACATCAACTTCCTATAATTAAAATTAGTAAGCCACTGAAGAAAAAAAAAAAGAAAAGAAAAACACGAAATATGGAGCAGACATCCAAACACATGATAAAGCAGAAACCCTGCATTATGTCCAAAGGAGACCCAATTAAGCGACCCCAGCAGCTGCATGGATTGGTCCATTGGATCTAAAGCCACGGCCCCTCCCACGGTATCCCCTCCCACGGCCACGACCTACAAGGAAAGGGTAAAATGGGTAAGAAACAAATAACGTCATACTTGCAACTCCTAAAACAATCCTGCACAGTTTTAAGTAATGCAATTTAAATCATCAGCAAAATGAGTTTTTAATTTGACACATGCATTTAAGAGAAGGGTGTTTTCTTCAATATCCTTACCATAGAATTTTGTCAGCTTTTTTTAGGATCCAAAATTTTCTCCTTTCACAAGAAAACCTAGACAAGTCTTCCCAGATACACCATTTTCCAAGTGAAGTCTAGGATATCTGATCCTAATGCTCCCTTCTGCAGGCTATTAATTTTCTAATCAAGAGTTAACAATTCAGCCTTAACCCATGAAGAATTTTGTCCTCACCATGGTCCAAGGTACTGGGTGATAAAATGCAGTTCCCAATATGAACTTATTTCATAAACTTTGGAGCCCATCTACTTGGATTGATTCTGGTCTGTGTCCCAGAGCCTAATTGACCTTTATCAGTTATCGTATTTCACCAAAAAGAAAGCAAAATCAAACGTTATTCTGGTCCATAAAAGAAACAATCACACCTAGGTTGAGGGATAATGGTCCAGACCAGAATCAAGCACCGGGGTTTACAAAGGTTTGCACAGAGAGCATTCTCTTCCAAATTTCAAGAAGATGGTAACATGACTTGTACAGATCAGCAAGACACACACCATTAACCTCCCTCTATTTCTCCTCTAGTATTACAAAATTTGTTCAAAGTAAGATAACAAGACGTGCCTTCATATTTCATGCAACTATTTTTAAAGTTTCACCAAATGTTTCAGATAGAACATCCATACAATACTATCAATACACATTAACTTTGTCAATATTTTACAATCCGCAATACGTATCTTACGATTTGATATTCTTATAGAGAAATCGATATGTATCATCAATACGTATACGTATACGATACATGAACACTTATATTTCTTTAGCAATTTTGTTATGTAAATTAATATTATTAGAAATTTTCATTAACTTATTAAAAAGAATTTTTTGATATGAGGATGATACTTCTATTTTATTTTTCACTGACTTTTTAACAAATATCTACTTCTCTGGTCTGGTATTAAATATCTTGTGTTGTTGATTTAGATCTGCTTTAAAGTTGTAAGTTTTCTACTAACTGACTATACATTGTTCGGTGTCATGTTCTGACAAGATAATCGTATTTGGTATAATTATATTTATTTTTCTGTCTGTTTTGAAAGATGTTAAAGTATCTTAAGATACACAATACAATACAACGTGATTCTCAAAAATAGAAACATGATACTCGATTCATATCCCGAATTGACAACTATGAACACAACACAAAACTAGGTCGCCTCTAGGGTCAGGTCAAATCCTACACATTATGCTGATTAATTACAGCCAACACATTTCAAGCTTTCATACCCATAATAAAATTATAAAAACCCCCAAATGTATTCTTCTTCAGTTTCAACAATTCAATAGCACCAACTATCAAATCCCATTAATTCCCAACAAACCCGGTAATATTCTTCTTCAGTTTCAACAATTCAATAGCACCAACTATCAAATCCCATTAATTCCCAACAAACCCGGTAATAACAGGTAGGTCTACAAACAAGCTGAACCGAGCCGAGCTTTAGTATGTTTTGGCTTGTTTATTAAGATTCTAACGAGCTCGAGCTCAATAAAAGTTTAACAAACCGATCTTGAGCCGAGTTGGCTTAGATTTGACTCGAGTTCAAGCCTGTTCACGAGCCATAAAGCCAAAGAAATTATAAATTCATACTTGCGTATAAGACTAAAATTACAATTGAAATTTGATTACACAATTGTATATACAATATATATAAACATACTGGAAAAAAAGAAAAGAAAAGAAGTTAATATCTTAACAAAATAATGTCTATCACTACTATTATATAAATGTATTATCTATATAGTTAGCTATTATTTACATATAAATAAATTTAACTATTATGTACATTTATATTATTTAAATATATAAATAACATATTTATCATTTTTTTATACACATTTTTACATTATTTAATATATAAATAATATATTTATTCTATTATTTAAATAAATATTAAACGAGCCAGCTAACGAGCCGAACTAACGAGTCCAGCTTTAGTATATTTGGGCTTGTTTATTAAGATTTTAACAAGCTCGAACTCGAACGCAATAAAAATTTAACAAATCGAGTTCGAACGAGCCCTTATCAAGGCGAACTCGAGCCTGTTCATGAACGGCTCTATTCATTTGCAGCCCTAATAACAGGCAACCAAATCCAAAACCAAATTCATCTTGATCAACTTTCAGTTTAACGAATCCAATATTGAACCATATCCCCACTAGAAACCAAACCCAATCAATCAACAAATGAAAGAAAGGTTGATCTAGCTTTTTCAAGAAGAACAAGCAATCTCACACCCCCTACACCAGCACATTTAAAAAGGATGAGGTCTAGCAACAAGGCATTAAACCTACTGGCAAATTATAGAGTTAATTATGCTGAAAACAGAGAGCAAATATATGAAGCCATACCACGGCCTTGAGCAGGACCATCCTGGTTGTAATTACGGCCTTGAGCATGTCCATCCTGGTCGTAACCCCGAGCAGGTCCATCCTGGTTGTAACCCCGAGCAGGTCCATCCCGGTTGTAACCTCGAGCAAGTCCATCCCGATTGTAACCTCGAGCAGGTCCATCTTGGTTGTAACCACGAGCAGGTCCATCCTGGTTGTAACCCCGAGCAGGTCCATCCTGGTTGTAGCCCCGAGCCGGACCTTCCTGGTTGTAACCCCGGGCAGGACCTTCCTGGTTGTAACCTTCCGCATCTTGCTGGGCATCAACCCGAGGACCACTGTACCCTCCTCTACCACGGCCACGGAAGTTACGACCTCTTCCTCGACTCCTGCCTCTGGCATAGCCACGATTCCTATCCCAACCTCCATCCTCATACTCCGCAGCTGCAAATCCATTCCCTGAAATGAGATGTGATTTTCATGTCACAAAATATCACCACTATGATAACCACGCTCAGAAGCAACAGCTCTCGAATTTTCAAAACCCATGCTCAACTCAGTGTTTGCCATACAAAAAAATGGGAACTCTCAAGTGTCATTCGCAAGCAGCAATGGACTGCATCAAGCCCATAGCACTGTCTAGGCATAGAGTTTTTTAAATTAACAAATCATTTCAATGATCAATAACACAAACTTAAATATATAATATATGAGCCACCAACACATCCAATTTTAAATAAGTAAAATGTTTACCTCCCATAAATAATCTCAGCAATAAAATAAAAAGGACTTGAAAAGTAAAAAATTATATATCCAATTTCATACCATAAGTAGCTCTAGGCCTTCCCCTCCCTCTACCACCACGGCCCCTTCCACGACCAGTAGGTGATCCTTCTGCATAACAAAAGATGTCAACAAGTGCCCATATGATGAATAACCAGAGAACAAGCACCCATATGAATAATAACCAGAGAACAAGTGCACAAATGTCAATGTGGCACTACCTCCTTCATAATCAAATTCAGTCCATGCCTTGACCTGGTCAGCTGGTAGAGGCGGCTGGTACCTGTAGCAGGTAGCAATGGAATGGTTGAAGAATCTGTTAGTTCATGAACAATCATAATTCACAGGGAAATCATTTCCTCATTGAGATATAAGCATAAAGGGGATGTTGAAGTTAGCTCACTCTCCGGCGATACTCCAATCAATTTGCATATTAGAAAAGGTCAAAGTTAAACAAATGTACGGGAAGCCAAAATGTTGGATATATCTCTATTAATAAAACTTTTTATAACCACAATTTTGTGGATATTTCTATACAAATCATCTATGAGGCACCTCCAGCAACGTGCAATCTAAGGATTTAAGATTCTGATAATCATTACTGGCGCATATTTTACATGACATACCAAAGACTGAGAATATCCAATGAGCTAACTCACCCGACAGAAGATGTATTCAGCTCCTTATTTGACAGAGTTATTGTAATCATTGAAACATGCCTTGTGGTTTCCAGACTGCAATAAAACAAATATCCATGTAAGAGCCATACTAAGAGAAGCCACCAAAAATATAAAATTTAAAAAAAGTTGTTACAATAGGCAAATCCCTGATGCAGAAACCAATGCCTATTACAAAATCTAAGAGACAAAATTTCCTTGTTTAAAGGAAAAAGGTTCAGAGGAACTCTTACGGAAGGAGGCCTTCTTCAAGGGGCTCCCATGTATCTGTTATATCAGTGGATCCAATTGATGTGATTTGATGAAGGCCAACAATCCTCCTCTGTATTACAGTTGCGTTGAGAAGATTCAGTAATCATAAAAAAAACTACCCTAGTAATATGCCAAAAAAAGTTACATGGAAGCATTTCCTGAAAAGGTTAACTAAATATGAAAAGCATAGGAAAAGCAAACCTTGATTAACTCCACAATAGTTACAGTTTTGTTGATAGCTCTACCCATTGCCTTGAATACAATCTCGGTTGAACCTTTTTCCTAGAAAGTATTACATCGAGCAAAAAGAGAAATAGAAGATATCAAACACTCTAAAAATTACTATCATCATGCATCTTAACTATCCAATCTCAGGCCTTAGAACAGTAAAAATAATTATAAATTGCATGATTAGATCTATCTCACACAACTCAATAAAAAATAAACGGCCACAGGTAGTGATGAGGCATGGACACATATCCCCATACTAGTTGCATACATGTCTAAGCAAATTAGCCGTTATTCATCATCTTGCCATAATGGTAAAGCAGCACCAAATATTATCTAGGCCAAGCCCCAAATCCCGTGTATTAGGACATATAGCCAGTGCACATCATGGTATCGGGTCGCCTTGAGAGTGTGAAAGATCCCGGAAACTAAGGATGATGCATAGCTTGAACACAGTTTTGCAACTATTTTTCTCTAGGAGTCATGACATTAGTACCCATTTACCACGAAAGAAAACAAAACAAAAATTATTTTACTAACAGATATTAACATTCCAACATGAACCTGATGACACAAGCATGATTATCATTACCAAGTGGCATACTGCAAGCCCACAAAATGAAACACATCAACCATAACAATTACTATATAGATAACTCAAGTGCATAGAGTTTCAATTTGGCTAGTAAACTAAGAAAAACTTAAATACAAGCATTACCTGACTATGGTATTTCAAAAATTAATTATTTTCAGACGTTGCTACCATTTAATTTTGGTATTGTTACTGTTGTCCTCTGTTATTCAAATTGTACGATTCGAATCGATTCAATAGATAATCGATTCGAACAGATTGTGTGTATCACAACTAGCTATGAATCGTAGGTGAATCGGTGAACCAAATTGGTGAATCGTGAATCGATTCAATTCGCTAAAATCGATGTTTGACTTTTTTTTTTGGTTTTTTATTCTTGGAAAAGGGTTCACACAACCTTTTTAAGGTCTCTATGATTACTATATGTCATCTTTTGACTTTCTCCCTCCCTATTTACTCTTCAAATACTCAAACCTTAGCAGGAAAAGAAAAAAAAAATGAACTTTCTCTCTCTACAATATTTTACGCTTACATATTCAATTTTATCTAAGTACTTGCATATATAAAATGAATTTTTTGAAGGCATAAAGTGAGATTTTTTGAAAAAGTTTGAATATTTTGATTTTTTAACCTTGTAAAAAGTTAAAAACATTGTTATTGAGTAATAGTTACTTGAAAATTCAAAGTTTGTCTTTATTTGCTTCCTTTATTAAGAATGGCTGATAAGAAATAGTGAAGTGGTATAACATGGGAACCAATGTTAACTTCTTACTCAGACCACATGATCATCATTTAAAACAATATTTTTATTGATTTAAGTCTAAATATTTTATATTTATTAGATAAATTTAATATCCGTGTGTGTAGATATATTTAATATCTAAGTGTGTAGATCTATTTTCTCTGTAATAAAAAAAAGATGACCGAATCTTTACGATTCACAATTTGATTTGATTTGATTCGTGATTCGGTACAATACCATTTCGATTCACAATTCGAATCCTGATTTGACAACTACGATGTTGTCAAATGAAAACAGGGATAAACTAACGATGAAGCACGGATAATCCCCTAAGGTTGCCATGTATGTGTCAAATATATATTGGATACCAATATGAGTCGAATACAACCTCATACCTAATATGTACCAAATGCGTGCCATATGTCTAAAAAAAATTATTAAATTTAGTATCAAATACCTCTAGGATAGGGCCACCGGTTTAGTGGTTAAAATCAGCCTAGCAACCTTGAGGTTGTGGGTTCGAACCTAAGGAGCAAATACCAAATAATAGGTATGTACTAATACATGCCGAAATGTACACATTTAGGCCCTCTAACATGCACTTGTTCGGACATTTATCATTGTTACTTTATGTGCTTTATCTCATTTGCACGATTACATGCCACAAGAGTTATTTGCATGGAATTTGACTTCAAAATGAAGGTTTATAAGCTCAAAGAAGTGACCACAATGAAACAAGAATGAGCCAAGAAGAGAATGGAACAACAGAAAGCTCCCAACTTCCCACTGCTCAATTCACGGCCCAGCTCCACTCTAGCATTGGAATATCTTGAGAACGCAAATCTCAAAATTCAAGTTTCAGGCTACAATAGTTGGCCGCTTGACTAGTGGTCTACGCAAAGTTTCGAATTCTTTCACAGTTCTGGCTCCTTTCAACCCTAATTTGCTAGAATTTTTCTCTTAGGGATTCGCGAGCAAAAAGCACATGATTGTGCAGGGGGATCAACAAGAGGTCAATGCTGACCAAGAAGAGTCCATAGGAGAGACTTAAGGCTTCGTTTGGCTATCTTAGTTGGGACTAAAAAAGCACAAAAGACAAAATAGACTAAATAAATCAACAAAACAAAACGTCACATCCAAACCATAATTATTTCACTTTTTCTCTCACAAAAGTCAAAAAAAATTTGCCAAAAGAACTTTTTTAGTCCCAAACTAAAAAAGTCTCAACTCCAAAAAGCCAACAAAAATTTTTTTTGCCAAACAGCAACTAAGTCTTTAAGGCATCCTGACGGGACTATTACGAGCCATATTCTCTTCTTCACTGTAGTTGTATATTAGGATATCATCAACATAGACAACGAACTTTCCAATAAAAGGTTGATATGGTTCATCAATTGTATGAAGGTACTGGGTGCATTAGACAATTCCTCTCTCATCTTAAATGTTGTCTTCCATTCATCACCTAGACAAATTCTTATTTGAAAGTAACAACTTCAAGAACATCTTTGAATCACACAACCTATCAAGCATATCATCCAACCTTGGTATCAAAAATTTGTACTTAACTATGATTTTGTTGATAGCTCGACCGTTGTTACACAGTCGCCAACTCCCATCTTTCTTCAGCGTCAATATGACAAGTACAACACATGCGCTCAACCTCTCTCTAGTCAAACCCTGTTTTAGCAACTCATTGACTTGCTTTTGCAGAAACTCAAATTCCCATAGACTCATCCGATAATGTGGCAACTTTGGAAGGCTTGCCCTAAGCACCAAATCAATCTCATGATAAATATTCCTCATAGGGAGCAACCCTGTTGGTAACTCCTCTGGTACAAGCCCCAGAAACACTACGATCCACAAGTTCACCCATTCTAGTATGGCCTCGGGCGCTACTTCCTTTTCCTTTCCATTTATTATATCAAGCACTATGAGGAAGAAGTTAGCCTTGGCCTGTGAAATAGCTAGACAACCCTCATGTCTCATAGGGGCCAAGACAACCTTCACCTTATCTTTGTAAAAGGTGTAGCTATTGTCTTTTCCCCTGTGCATGGTGTTCCAAGTCCTGTAGCCAGAGTCTACCAAGCAGCATGTGACAGGCATCCATGTCCACCACATTGCATAGGACTTCATCCATGTCCACCAACTTTTGTCCACTCTACTAGATCATCTTCATCAACATTACCCCTTCTAGAAAATATGCCACTGCAGACAACAGTTTGAACAGTGTCCCACTTGCCCACAACGATTACACTTACCACCCCATTAAGGAGCATAAAGGGGGTTTTTTCTATCACATGTTTTAGTAACTAGCCTTGCGTTTGACTAATTTCGCCATGGGGCTTTGGCGTGATTCTGGTTAGTTAAACTTATGACACTTCAGTGATTGCCTTTTCTTTACTCTACTAGAACAAACTATAATTGAAGAGAATTGAAAGTCCTAGTAAGGGCCTGATTTCAAACTCCCCCAAGTCCCTATTTGAATAACAATTTACTTTTACTTGTTTTAGTTAATTAAGATTAAACTCAATCCATCTCTCTTTTATCCAATTAATTTACGAATTTAACTTCCAAATTAACAAAGATCAGCCTTGCCGTCCCTGAGGTAATATATACAGACTAAAACCAATATTCTATTGAATTGAGCTATTAGTACAAATTTATTTTTGTTTGGAAAACAACCTATCATGTACCCAATTTACCTCTTAGACCCCATCCAATGGGAACTAAAATTAGTGTACTTTTTTTATACCTCTAGGATATGGCTATGTTATGGAAACATTTGGGGATACTCCTCTGATACGATAGGGTAAAAATTCAAGTTTTGAATTCTTGAAATATGGCTAGGCACAAATGAGATGAACTTTTGCTAAAAAACAAGAAGTTAGATGGGGTTTTTTTGTTAAAAAAAACTGTAACTTTAAAGCATGTTTATAATCAACCAGCACCCCTTATTCAAATCTCTCTCTCTCTCTTTCTTCCTCTCTCTTTTCATTAAAGTTTAAGACAAATCCATACCATCAAACTTTCAATTGAATCTGATTGAGCTCAAGCTCAAGCATGATTGAGTTTCAACCCTCAAGGAAAGCTTAGTTCAACTTGACTAAGCCCTAAATCGAACCTGGGCCCTAACCTCAAATACTACATAATTTGAACAGAAACTTCAAATTTTTACAAAATTTGTTAAAACAAATCAATTCCTTATAAAATACAGGTAAAATAAAAACTAATATATTTAGTAGCATTAGTGCTTTAAAAAGCGCACTTTGGCGCCCGCCTAAGCGCGAGGTGCATTGAAGCGCTCCAAGCAGGTCGAGGCAAGGCGCAGGGCATGCCTAGAGATGAGGCGCAAGACGAGGGCTTTATGGGCTTTATGTAGCTTTTTACTCCAACACTTGATTTAAGTGATTTATTGTGTCCATACCCACAAATGATTACAACCCTTCAGTATAAAATGAACAAACATGTGAAAAGAGATAAAAAAAAAAAATTTTAAAAAGTGACTAAAAAAACTAGCATTAAAAAAAAATATCGACAAACGTGGAAGAGAGAACAACATGGTCGCCTTCATCAACGATTGACGTCGTCTTCTTCAGGTTCTTCTCTTCTTCTTCATTGTGTTCTCTCTCTCTCTCTCTCTCTCTCTCTCTCTCTCCTCTTCTCTTCTCTACTCCAACCATTGTTCCCCTTTTCTATCATTGGGTTCTCTCTATCAACCACCACATTTTCATCTTCCTCTTCGTTATGCCGCCAACAACTGAATGTTTACTTTTTTTGTTTTTTAAATGGTGAAACTTACTTTATGATTTTTGAAATTTTATATATATTTGTTTATGTTGAAAACTTTGCCTATTTTAAAATTTTGCTAGTCTTCTACAACTTGCGCCTCGCTTTAGTGAGGCGCCGGTGCACACCTCGCCTTGTGCCTGCGCCTCATGCTTAGTCTATAGGAGACCTTATCGCCTTAGTACACCTAGAGCTTTTTAAAACACTGAATAGCATATCCTCGCCTTATCATATCTTGCTTTTCAAGATTTTGCCATATTTGTACCAACATCAGCATCACTATCCTTTATTTGTAACAGTATTTGTGCATCAAAACAAACTAGACTTAACATCATTGGATTGGAATATTCATCTATAATGCAACACTCTGACAAGGAAAAATTAAATTAAATTTCATTTGAAGGCTGTTAACTTTATATCAATATTGATAAATTTACCAAAAATTAATGCTAAAATCTGACAGAACTGATTCCATAGAGGAGTACCACAGTCCCAAAGACAATCAACCACATGTTGAATGAATCACAATCTTTCTCATTAACTGAATCAACCAAGCCATGTTCCAACAAACTGTGTTGCACGCTGTTCTATTTTTTCCTCCAAATTATAATAAGGAAGAGATGGAGGAGAAAGAGTCACGTGTAAAACATGTACACGTAGTAAAACGTCCGCTACAACATAATTGACCAATATATTCAACTCAGATTCCAACAATAAATTTAAGGGGAATTCTGCCATAAATCTCTCAGGGACACTTATCTTGTCAAAAGGACAAGAATTATATGAATACTTTCAAAAGCCCTTAGTATTTTAAAACATTATTCTTATCATTCTCATAATCACTGTTTGTCTCCACTATCTCATATGAGATTGATGACTTCAGATCTAAGATTTTTTATCTTAGATTTGAATATCGATAGTTTGTTCTGTCTCTCTCTTTCTGACTTTGTTTCTCTCCTTCGATCCCCCTCTCTCTAGTTCTCTCTCATTCAATCTCTCTCTCTCTCTCTCCTTTCCCTGTAAACCCCTATTTTTTGTTCGTTCTCCTTTTTTTTATTTGTTCACAGGCGAAATCACAAATTTTACTCTAATTCATAATAAAATTTTACTATGAATCAAAATAAAATTTTGTCCTTCTAACACAAAAAACAGAAGCTGTGAGGGAGTTTTGCAAGTATTGAAATTTTTTTTTTTGGGTCCTTTGGACAAAAAAACGAAAGGTCTAAGAAACTTGTGGCCAAATCTCCCTAACTTTAATCACATCCTTAATATCTATAACATCCAACACTACATTATTGCATAAAATATAATAACTTTAAGGGCATGTTTGATTAGTAGAATTATAACATAGGATTGAGATTGTTAATCCATGATCTCACAATCCCATATTTGATTACAATTTTATTAATCAAATTACATGTAAAGCATACATTCAATCCGACAAAATTGGTGAACTTTTAATATTAAGAGGAGGTTAGGATCATAATTTTAAGTATAAAAGAAAAAATGCAAAATGAATATATAATAAATGCTTACTTCACTAATTTAATTAGATAACCAATCCTACACTAATCCATGGTATTATTAATCATGTTAATCAAACAAATCATATTAATCAAACAAGGCCTAAATGTACAGGTAACATGATATGCATCTACCCAACTTTAGGGTACATATCCCTGCATCCTAAAATTCGGATCCAATCCTTAGACACAAACCCACACCCAATACTCATACCTAAATCCCAAACCCATATGATATAGCTTCTAAACCAAGTAGTATTTTAACTTATATCAGAAAATTCTATGTGGGCAACAGGCAAAATATTAAAAACAAAAATTATAAAAACACAATCAACTATAAAAAAACACAGAAATTAGATACAAAAGCATAATCTAATCAGGAAATACCTGAAGCAGACTCATAGCATAAGTGATATAGCTTCTCATCCTCCCCTGGCTCGTAATCCGAATCTCATTCTCATCAATCGTTGTCTCCGCTCTTGGCTTCTCGACCCTTTGGTACCGATCCATCTATACAAAAAAGCAATAACAACAACAACAACAACATATGAAAACCCATAGCAACAAAAACAGAGTATAGAGTTTGGATCAAACAACGAAAGAGAGAGAGAAAACAGTTCGATTTCATGTAAATACAGGGGAAAAAAACAAGGGATAAACTAGGGTTTCGATGAAAGGTCGAACCTTGTTCTTCTTCTTCGAGTAAAAAAGATAAAATTTTTATGCAACACGAAGGAAAGCCCTCGTCTTTGGCTTCGTATCTTCGTTTACGCCCTAACCGCTCAAGTGTGAAGTGGTGAAGCATTTATAGGACCTGTTTCCAAACTGCCCTACCTCTCAATCCGGTCAGCTCAGCTTGTTTGTTAGATAGAGTTGGGCCGATAAATATTGTACAAATTTGGGCAGGCCTGTTTTTTTTATGAACCAATTGGGAGATGGAAAGGTTGGATTTTGGGAAACGAAATTGGGTTATTATATTATCTTAGAAAATAATGTTAGGGTGGGTGTGACATGCTCTCAACTCAATTATTGTGTCCAAAAAAGGAACACCATCTCTATTAAGCTAATGTCTTGAGCTTGAATTTGATTTTGATTTGATTTATAGGAAAAATAGTTAATTAGTCTTTTTTTTTTAAAGAAAAATAATTCGATCTTATTAATTTTTTATTAGGATAATTCAATCGAGTCTGAATTTGTTAATGTCTTGATTCTGATTTTACAAGGTAAATAATTCTGTTGATCATTTTTTTATTAGGACAATTCTGTCGAGTCTAGATTTGTTGAAATTGAATATCTCAATTTTACGGTAAAGTTGACTCATTATCTGACTAACTTGAACTCACTTTGGTGATCTAAATCGTTTAAAAAAATTATGTACGCAAAAAATCAAGTTGATCCAACATCGATTGTTATATTATTAGATCATTTTTATCTATACGACCTATATATTTTTAAGAATAAATCATCCATCTATTATAATATATGTGTGATTTGATCATGTGATTTCTCATGTCTGATTAACTTAATTTTTCACATACATGTTCTTCTCAACTTGTCATATGAGATAAACGATTTAAATCATTAACGTGAATACATATTAGTCTTATAATACACCAACTTTACCAATGAAGTTGAAATTTTCTACTTTAACATATCCGAACTCCAATTCAATCCTATTTTAAATAAAACACTCTCACAAAATAGTTTTCCTATATTTATTTTACACCCCTCGTGACATTTAAGAGAATCAACATTTAAAAAATATTTTTTTTTCCCTGAATTCTGTTAGATTTTTTTTTTTTATCAATTTCCCTTTAATGAGGTGATTGTTAAAACCAAATATTGTTATAGTTCTGTAATAACATATTATTTTTGTAATTTTTTAACTTTTTATGAAAATATATGCAAAAAAGTAAAGTGAATTACGTGACAACTTATAGTAACTTTTTGATTTTTTGACTAAAATTGAAAGTTGTCAAACAATGCCTAAGACTCTCTTAGCAATTTTAGTTAGGATTCTAATTTTCAAGTCACTATTAAAATTTTGATGTATTATATATTTGCTTTTTTTTAATATTTTAGTCTATTTATTTTTTTTACTTTTTAGATTCATTAAATCTAGATACACTTAAAAAATACAAAAATTGTGAAAAATATTTATAAAATTAACTAAATATTAAAAAATACAAAAGAATACAAAATTCAATACATTTTTGTATTTTTTTGCATTTATTGAAAAAAAATACATAATTTATTTACAAATATTTTATTTTATAAGTACATTTAAATTAGATGTATCTACAAAAAAATAACTAAAATATTTTTAAAAAGCACTAAAAAAATACTAATTAAAAACTATAAAAAAAATAAAATTGAAATTCAAAATCAAACTGTTTATAATTTTTTAAATCCAATTTATGGATTTTTACTAAAAGTGGAAAAAAGTAGAGTGTTAATGTAGTTTTTAACTATTTTGAAATAATTTATTTAAATAAGGACTAAATTGTTCTAATAAAAAATTGATAAGGCTTAATTATTTTCTTTAAGGAAAGTCAGACTTACTGGATATTTTTTTCTGTTACTTTTTATTTAAAAAATATAAAGGGAGATTGACTAATAAGAGCATCTCCAACGGTTAACTTAATATTTCACCAAATCTGAGTTAAAAAATGACCATTTCCTGAATTTGATACTTCACACTCCAACGCTTCAGCTTCATCAAATATCAGTCAGGACAACCGGATGGTCGACCAGGTCGACCTGATGGTCGACCGGACCGGTCGACCGGGTAGAGGAAATTTTTTTTTTTTTAAAAAACCTTTTTTTTGGTGATTTCTCATTTTGATATTCATCTGATGCAACGATTGGAGCATGGAAAAGTACATTTTTCATCAAAATTTAAATCTGATATCAATTTAGGTTCAGCGTTGGAGGTGGTCTAAGTCATTTATTTTGAACTTGTAATTCATATAGTCTCATATTTTTTCTTGTGATTCATTTAATTCTTTTAGATGTGTAATGATTCATTTGCTTGCTACATTGGAGTATTATATTTAGAAAATGTACACTAAAAAAAAAATTTAGTGTCATATCATATCCGTCACATTAAAGTGTCATATTTGAAAAAAGTACACTAAAGAGTTTTAAATTTTTTTAGAGTGTCACACCATACCCACTACGTTAGAATGTCACATGTCATGCTTGGGAAAAGTACACAAAGGAATTTTTAATTTTTTTTAGAGTGTCACATCATACCCGCCACGTTATCATGTTGGAGAAAATTACACTAAGGAGTTTTTTATTTTTTTTGAAGTGTCACATCATACTTGCCACGTTGTCACATTAGGAAAAAATACACTAAAGAGTTTTTATTTTTTTTGAAGTGTCACATCATACCCGCCACGTTGTCACATTGTGGGTGTTTGGGAAGTTACTATTTTAATAAACTATTTTAGTTTTTGGCTATTTTAGTATGCTAAAATTTTTGTGTTTGGAAGATGATTAGATTTTTTTGTAGTTAGATGTGATGTTTGTGAGAGAAAAAGTGAAATGATTATGGGTTTGATGTGACATTTATCTTATTAGTTATTTTAAACTATTTTGTCTTTTTGTAGATTTTAGCCTAAATTCACTTCCCAAACAACCCCATTAGGGAAAAGTAAATTAAAGAGTTTTTATTTTTTTTAGAGTAAAAATTTTGGAGTGTCACATCATACCCACCATGCTGTCACATTTAGAAAAAGTAAGGAATTTTTTAATTCTTTTGGAATGTGACATTGGAGTGTCACATTAACACCTGCCACATTGGAGTATCAGATCATACTTGTCACATTAATAAAAGAGTATAGTTGTCCACCAAAACACTACCAAAATAAAAAATAGAACCACACGAAAAGAAACTTTTCACTAAGAGGGCTTAACAGATCAATAGAAAATTTTGGGACTAATTAGGGTACTTGTTTATGAAATAAGATTTATTGGTAAAATTGTTTAGTTTTCAATTTGGATTATTTACAAAAAAACACTTGTTAAACTATTAAGAAATATCATTTTGATTCCTAAACTATAAAAACATATAGACCCCTAAATTATTGAAAAGTATCACTTTGTCCCATAAACTATAAAAGCACACAAATGGACTCCTTAAACTATGTAAATATGCAAATTGGATCCCCGTACGGAAAGGATATTAAAGTGAAACTTGACAATAATTTAAAGGGTCTATTTGTATTTTTTTTATAATTTAGAGGTCAAACTTCAACACATCAATAATTTAAAGGGCTCATTTATACGCTTGTATAGTTTAAAGGGTTAGAGTAACACTTCTTAATAATTTGGAGAGTCTCTGAAACCTAACTTTCAAAAACAAGCTTTTAGTTTTTTATTTTTTGTGTTTTATTTTTCGTGTTTTATTATTTTGTGATTTTTTTATATTTTAGTTAATTTTTTTTTTAAAATACAACTAATCTAAACGTACTTAAAAAATAAAATATTTGCGAAGAAATTTAAAAATAATTCACTAAATATAAATATATATATATATTCAGTGAATTTTTATAATTTTTTTACTTTTTAATTGTATTTAGATTAAGTGGACCTAAAAAAATAACAAAATTTGATTAAAATAAATTTTAAAAAAAAACACTAACAATTAAAAAATATAAATTGAAAACTCAAAAATTATTTTTAAAAAATACAAAACCAAACATAATTTTTGTTGGCTCGATGTTAATATCATGTGAGAAGTCAGGTTAAATGGTATTAAAATGTAATTATTAAATGAGATTTTCCATAGCATTACTCTTATTGTGCTTATGCTAAGGTTTAAATTCTAAAATAATGTAATTAAGCTCCCTACCCTCGATTTAGGCTACCCAACAACTTTAACTGTGATAATTATGTGGCATATATATGGAATAGAAGACTACAATGACAACAAAATGGGGGTAACAAATTAAAAGACTTGAAATCAGGAACTCTTGAAATTAACTATGATTTCATATTAAATTACGAATTATCTTAAAAAAACTCTTATATTTTTGAATTAGTGTATACATGTGCAAGAAGTCACGATATAAATAAAAATAAGTGAATAAAAAGGAAAAAATAAAAATAAATAAATAGAGAGAAAAATAAAATAAAAAAAGTGAGGTAAATAAAAAGAAAGAGGAATGTGGGGATCATGGGATCATGAGAGAGTAGGTAAAAAAAGGAAAAAAGTAAGAGAGAGAAGCGGAAAAATAAAAAATGTACACGTAAGACATATTTTGAAAAACACATTAAATTGAACAGTTCTGAACCGACCAAATGTCCTAGTGGGACAAAAATATGTTGAAGATTCAAAAGCCCTCTTGCTTTATTATATAACTAATAGTTGGCCCTTGTAATGCATGTGTTTTTTTTTTTTTAATTCAAAAAATATTTGATGGTACAATGTGTGTTATAAAAGAATAATTTAAATTAAAATTAAATTTAAAGTATGATTTCAATTATTTATTTAGATAATATTGGCGCTATCATTCTATAAAATTGTTACTTAAATACTTATATATAGGGGTGGGCGCGAGTCAATTGCGGCCACGCGGCCACGGAACCTCCAATCCGCCATTCGTCCACTAGATTGGCGGATTGGAGAAAATCAATCTGCATCCGTCCGCCAATCTAGCGGATGTAGATTGTGTTGAAGATTCTAGAATTAATTCCAAGTTGGTATACTTCCGTATATAGATTTATTGTAAATATGTTTCCTAGATTAGAGATATGCTCTACTGGCATTCTAATTATGTATAGTGGCTATTTATATCCACAATATTGTAAAGTAAAAGTAATAAGAAATAATATCAA